CACACACACACACACACACGCACACACACACACACACACACACACACACACACACACACACACACACACAAAGAAACACAATGAAGCCTTTTTTAGATTTAACTTTCACTTCTTGTTTTTTTTTTACCCAGATCATATTGATTTAGTAATTGTCTGTATTTATGTCTGACATGGTGCCAGAGATCCTTTTATTGTCTGACGTGTTGTGGAAAATCCCAGAGTTGGTGAACTGAATTCACATCAATACTGTGTTTCTTTATCTAATAACTTTTAGACCATTGTGGTCACTTTAATTAAGTGAATTAACTACTTTATATTAACCATATTAAAAATGATTTTCTATATTTAATTTAACATTATTAACAAGCTTGTCTTGCCTTAATCGACAGCTCACTTTCTTAATAAACTGCTGTTAATTATTTTTTTGTCTCTTTGCTTAATTATCAGTTCTTGCTCTCCCTTTTTAAATGAAATTTGTAGGTTGGAGGTCTTCAGTTGGAGGGTTGTCGCTTCGATGGCACATATCTCAGTGAGAACCAGCACGATTCTCCCAGTGTGTCCGCTGTTCCGCCGTGCTACATGGCTTGGGTCCCACAGGTACGCTTAAATACTGTATGTTTGTGTTTAAAGTTTATAGTGTAAGTGGAAAACAAATTGAAAACTTCTATGTGAATGATATTTTGTTTGTTTTATAGTAACCATAATGACATGAACTTTTAGCTTCTTTTTTTTTGTTTGTTTGTTTTTTTGGCCCAGAATCCAAAAATGCATAGAATAAGTTGACAGAGCCGAGAAAATATAAAGGTTCTATATTCAGTCATATATGAGCTTCATGTTTCTTCAACTTATGTTTGACAGGACAATACAATCTTGAATTAAAATAAAAAGTATATATCTGCTCAGTTTCTTACTACTTACCTTGACTAAACCAGAATGATTTTGGTTGTGCATGTCACTGTTGGAACATTGATTCAAGACAACAATATCAGATGCATGTTCTGAAATTCCCTCCTGTGTGCACATCCTCTCTTTCCATTCAAGCTTCTGGTTAATGTAGATGCCGTCTCACCAGAGGTCGCATTAACAGAATATTTTTCCGTATTTGACCGTTTTTTTTTTACACAATGACGGAAAAATCTGAAGGCCGTCCGTCATGTTGACAGATTGCAATTAACACCCCAGAGGTGTCTTATTTAACCAAAAATAAATAAAAGATTCCCATCTGATCATCATCTCAGATCTAGACACCATACTGAATGCATCTCCAGGAGCTGACAGCGCATTGGCTGTGTCCAAAACGGCAGGACGGGTCCTCCGAAGGCCGAATTTGTCGGCCACATACGTCACAGCCCCGCGACGAAGGCCGTCCAAATCCGAAGACTCCTCCGATGCGGCCGACAAATACGTCCTTCCCTTTCCCCGATTTGAAGGACTGGTCTGATGGATCCTTCCCGACCCAGCATATCCCATAATGCATTGCGGCCCGACCAGAGATTTGTTTAAGCTAGTAATGGCGGACGAAGCAAGAGAAAATAATACGTTTTAAAATAAAAATATGGTGATATGAAATTTAAAAATAATTAGCGGTTGTAATTCTAATACTTTTTATCATTTGTATGGACATGTTTTTAAATATTATTTTTATCATAAAAAAACACGAAATAAACATGAACCTACAGCGGGTCAATTGGTTCTTCAAATGATACTTTTAAGTTAATTTTATAGTTTTGCGATATTAATAATGCTAATGTAGGGGTTATCTCGAGTGAAGAAACAGGAGTACTGCCTCAAATCAGGTCTCGCACAGGCCTGAGGAAAGGCAGAAACATTGAACTCTTATTTTAGGCCATGACGGGTCATTTCTACACGAGGACTCCAGTTCTCTTAATCAGATATTAACAGAAACAATCTGTTCTGTTCATGATTCATTTATTGTGTTTTATAAATCACTGTTTTATTTTTACTGAAACATCAGTAATATAA